AAGATTCCTAGCAATATATCTTCTGGAGCACTTAGTATATTAGTTTAATTTACCTAAGATTTTTCAGAAACATTTACTGCTTAAAGGAACAAACTCCTTTTAAAAATATAAAGTTAATAAATTATAACACTAAAAGGAGACAAAACATGAAAGTACAACTATCCAGATTCAACTTTTGATTCTTCATTTAAAACCAATAATATAAAATGTTAAATATAAATGTTACAATAAAAAAGGTTATGTATTTTTAATAGAATAGTTCAGTAACTACCTCCAACATGGTTAGAAAGAAGAAGGAAAACCTGACAGAAGTTTCCAATACAGCGTTATAGGCTTAAAAAAAAAAAAAAAAAAGAAATTTCAAAAACATTCATTCAAAATCATACAAAAAATTGTAGTACAGTAGGAAGTACACTTTTTAAATGTTCCTGTTTAAATGTCCCTGAGTAATTTCTGCATATGAACAAAATTTGAATGTTCACTCCAAAAACACTATACTATTATAATCTTCTTTTTGGTCTTTCCCATCAGACAGAGAATTTCAAAGAACAGATATTTGTTTTTTGACTCAGACATCCAACATATAATAAATGGTCCACAGCAACAATTATTACCATGAGAGAGAGCATTTGTTTCATTCTTACAATAACACTTCGGAGTAGGAACTATTATTGAATCCCTTTTATAGCTAAGGATACTGAATCTTTGGAAGGCTAAGTAACTTGACCAGGGTAACAAAGCTGGTAGAGTAAAGAGCCTGGACTCAAAACTGGCATTGCGTTCAAGTTTCATGCTCTTGAGCACTACAATACATACTAAGTTTATATAAGGTACCATATAGCAAGCAATCTCATTGAGACCCTATAATAACAGCAGATATAATTGTTTTATAATATTACATAATAATTGGAGTTGCTACCTTACCCATCAAGTCTTGGACATTGGGACCTACTACAGGTCCTAAGTTATGGGAAAACTCACATAATAACAAGTTAATGTGAAAAATAACATTGCTCAACATTGCAAACAGAAAGACCCTGAGAAAATGTACTGGAATATTCCAAACACCAGCTCTTTTTAAAAGGAAAAACAATTTTAAGAGGCTCCTGTGAATTACTGCTGAACCTGAGATCTTGCTTGATTCCTTATTCCTTTATAAAATGTCTTATCTAAAGAAATGTAATAAATCAAACATTTCAACCTTCAAATAAGTTAGGGAGAGAGCTGTTACACAACAATAGAAGTTACTGTCTTAAAGGAAAGCTGAAATGATCCCTCCTTTCTAAAATGGTGTTATTTATGGAAAAAGTAATTCAAATTTATGTTTAAGGTAACTTAAAGCAAATCTTTATATGAGCCAAAGCATTTACTTTTAAGAATTTATCTTTAGACTGAAGTGGATTCCCTATCTCAATTGTAATATAAAAACATAACTTTTTCTGGGTCAAAGAACAAAAATTCACAAGATGGGTTGTCACCATAGATCACAAACCACAAATTCAGTTTCATTAACTACTAAATATTCACTAACAGTACTTATCTACATCTACCTTATAAGATAGTTAGGAGAACGTTATGTGAGTGTAATTTTTTTTTTTTTTTTTGAGACAGAGTCTCACTTTGTTGACCTGGGTAGAATGCCATGGTGTCATAGCTCACAGCAACCTCAAACTCAGGCTCAAGCAGATCCTCTTGCCTCAGCCTCCCGAGTAGCTGGGACCATAGACACACACCACAACATCCAGTTAATTTTTCTAATTGTAGTAGAAATGGGGTCTCACTCTTTATCAGGCTGGTCTCAAACTCCTGAGCTCAGGAGATCCACCTGCAAAGGCCTCCCAGAATGCTAAGATTACAGGCATGGCAGAGTATATGTATTATTAAATAAATACTAACCATTGTGGCTAATACTGTTGTTTTAGATCTAGTAGATAATATATGCCAAAAAAACTCATCACTCCTTTCATACTTTATTCTTTTAATCTTGTTAAAATAGGAACCCTATCCAAAATGAGATACCTTATCCTAAGTGCCTGTAAGTTTTGAGCAAAGACTGGGCCCTCTATCATTTTGACTGTATCAAAGTCTTTTACTTGCTTCTGGATTTTCTGATATGCTCTGAATAGTTTAGCTTGCAGGAGTAATCACCAGTAAAGTATTACTGTAAGTAAGCTTCTAAAGTGTATTTAAAGCATACATAAGTATATTAGAAAAATCTTTGAGAAAAAACAGTCTACATTACTGATACTTGACTATTCTAAAATCACATTATACCATGGTGACTGTATGAGACTTTCCCTTCTGAAATGTTAAGTATGATTTTTCATCTTCATATTTTAACAGATGAAAATAAAATCTCAAAAGAAGATATTCCCACTGAGATTTACTAAAGAAATACTGAAGCATCATAAAAATAGTTTATAATGATGTGAGGAATCAGATCCATTGCATTGAGAAGTGAATCACCATCAATTCAGCTTAGTAGATGTCCAGCTTCTGAACCAAAAGCTTCCATTGTACATGTAGGGAATGTATTTCTAGCTAATAATGATCCTTAGAGCAAAATAAGTGGTAGGATTCATTTTCACTCACAAATAGTGTATTAGAAGTCTGGATTATAAGCCTAAAGGTCTTTTAAAGTTAAAAGTTGCTACATATGAGTGGTGCCCATAGCTCAGTGGGTAGGGCGCTGGAATGTGGCGCTGCCACTGAAGCTGGCAGGTTCAAACCCGGCCCTGGCCAGCTAAAATCAACAATGACAACTGCAAAAAAAAAAAAAAAAAAAATAGCCAGAGTTGTGGCAGGCGTCTGTAGTCCCAGCTACTTGGGAGGCTGAGGAAGAGAATCGCTTAAGCCCAAGAGTTTGAGGTTGCCCTTAGCTGTGACGCCATAGCACCCTACCAAGGGCAACGTAGTGAGACTCTGTGTCCCCCTCCAAAAAAAGTTGCTACGTAGAGGATTCAATCGCAAGTAGTTACTTTCCACGATCAAAAACAGTTTGATGTCACTATATTTTGTCCTTTTTTACCTATATCCTGGCTTTGCTTCACGGAGTTTCACCTAAAAAAAGGGATAGAACCAATAGTACCTACCATAATAATGGCTGTTTGGGCGACTAAATAATAAAAAAAGTACAGAGCACCTAACCCCACAGCCTGGCATATATGACTCTACTCACAATAGCTATTAATACTATTTTACAGACAAATACACCAGAGGAAATTCCAGTCCTCAAAGCTTCAAATTTTAACATCATTGCTTAAAAATGATTTGCCAGCAAAGTGTCTACAAGGAAGTAGCACTGCATTTAATTAATAAGTAATCTGTTTAATTGTAATTGATTGCCAGGAAATAAAATCATTTTATTAAATTTTAGAACCTTCCATTAAAAAAACTACAAAAAGGCTCGGCGCCTATAGCTCAACCGGCTAAGGCGCCAGCCACGTACACCTAAGGTGGCGGGTTTGAATCCCCAGCCCAGACCCGCCAAACAACAATGACGGCTGCAACCAAAAAATAGCCGGGGGTTGTGGCGGGCGCCTGTGGTCCCAGCTACTTGGGAGGTGGAGGCAGGAGACTCGCTTGAGCCCAGGAGTTGGAGGTTGCTGTGAGCTGTAATGCCACAGCACTCTGCCCGGGGGACAGCTTGAGGCTCTGTCTCAAAAAAACAAAACAAAACAAAAAAAAAACTACAAAAAAATTAAAAAGTACTGAGTTTCAACTTGGAAGACATTTCCTTAATTAAAGGAAACATATCAATTTTTTTAATCACACATGATCATTTTGGATCCACTATTTCCTAGACATTTAACAAATATTCCCTCAAAATTTTGAAATTTTTCATCTAAAAACTTTATTTTCCAAAACGTAGGGGTCTTTTTAATCTGTTGAAAACTCTTCTAAGCAATAAAAACTGAAACTAACACTCATGAAAGTGTCAGTGTCAGGAACTTTTCTGGGCCCTCAGCACTGTTCATGTTTTATGCATCTCTGTATAAGTGCCTGGACAGTTTAGCAAAATAACTTAGCAAAGGATGAAATCAATAAACACTGCTAAATAAATTAGTCATCAAAATGAGGCAGAGAGATGATGAGGCTAATTAAAATGAATGCTCTTACATTACTGCTCATATTTAAAACTAACTTCAAATATCCTACCCTTTCAAATTACTGACTTTCTTTGCAAGGGAAAAAGAGAAAAGAAGGTTCGTTTTTATGGCAGTTTCCTGAAACTCTATACTGCAAAAGCTAAAAACAAATTAGTATTCAAAATGTCCCATACATGAAAGCATAACTTCCTAATTATTAGAAAACTCTTAAGAGTCTTAGCGATTTTTCTCTCAATTTTTTATGTGTGAATACAGTGGCTCAAGAAAAGGAAATATTCACAAGCCACTGCTAATTCTAACATCAGACATTAATTTTACTAAGACGACTTTAACAATACCAATTCAAATAAAACAATGTGTTCAGGGCTACCTAAACACCCTATCTAGCAATGCATGGTCGTGGTCATTTCTTTGGAATTGAGTATTCTCGCCAATTCGAGGATTTGGGAAGATAAAACGCTGAGCGAGACATCAATGGGAGTACAGGGCCGGGGGGAGGGAAAGGAAAAGATCAGGGAGGATTAATTTCTGCATTATTTGTGGATGGGAAAGGAAGTTACTTGGGCCCTAGGAAGGGGAGTGGAAAAGATCCATTTTGCAGTTATCAGGAACTGAGGAATGGGAGGAGGGGCAACTATCATCTAGGAATCTTGCCAGTCTCGTAGCTGCTTCCAGAAAGAGAAAATGTGCCCTCAGGTCATTCTCAATAAGCTACAGTGAAGGAAGGGGGAGTGACCTTCCTAGGTTTGACAGAGGAAATAGAGGCTCACTTCCCAATGGACTGAAAGAGGATTCGGTTCCCTTGGTCACCGGGGAATAGAAGGGATTGTAGTAAGAAGCCCCAAGGCCACGGTAAGGAAGTGAGATCCAGGGCTGAGGCGTGGGCGTTACCTGCAGGGTCACCTCCTGGGGGTCCCAGTGGGGCCGCAGGTGTTGCAGGAGCCTCAGGGCCCCTTCCCGGCAGCGCTGTTCCTCCTGATCCTGAACCGTTACGTTGAGCTTGGGCACCTCCGGGGAGCCGGACGGGACGTGGATGTAATTGGCCATGGCCCAGGCGACCGCGGAGATTACCACAACAACGACGGCGACGGCGACCACGAGAACTGCGGGCGCCGACAGGCTGCTGGACCCTTCCGTCCCGGGGCGCCCTCACGGGAGGGCTGGGGGCGCTCGGACGGGCGGGCGAGCTGTAGGAGAACGACTGGAGGAGGCCCGATAGCCGGTCAGGTCTGGACAGCAGCTGAATCGAGCTGGGCCGCTCACGGGGGAGATTCCTCTTGTCGGCGCTCCACCGCGGGCGGCCGCGGAGCATGCCGGGACTGGCCTGACGCTGGCGTCACGCGCAGGGCGGAGCCTCCGCTGCGTCAGCGACCGGAGCTGGATTCCTAACGTCTGTGCACAATGGGCCGGCTGTACGGGGGCTGATTGCCTACGTGTGATTGCTTTCTGAGGCTGTAGCTGGTTCAGTCCTGTGAGCTGCCGGTCTAGAAAACGCAGGGCTACTTCTCGGGGATGAGCCTGAGCCCTGCCAAGACTCGCAAGGCTTTAAAGCTTACCCGATCGGGAGGGTTGTGGGGATCTGGGATTGAGTTACAGCGAAATTTTTGTGGAAAGTAAAGGACAGGTTCTGAATTAACCCAAGGATCATTGTATGAACCTGGCCTAGGTCTGACGAACTGGATTAACACGGTCGCCTTGATCTTAGAGCGGTTACGTATTAGGAACTGCATACCAGTTGTATTAGCAACTGAATTCCCGTTAGCTGTATAACAGTGCTCAGGACATACTTAAAGTTATTTTTTAACTAAAAGTTAATATTATATACTACTTCAAGAGTTATTTGTAGTCAGATGTTTGGCCATACTGACAATTATTCAAAGCCAGGAAGAACAGGTTAGAGTCTGCAATGAAGATGCAAGGGGCTCACCACTACTGTCTTCAAACTTTTCATCTAAATGCCTTATGGCTGCCATTTCCCCAGTTCAGAGAACACTGAGCATTGGATAATCCACGAATAATTTATTGGACCTTACTAATTTTCCTTTTTGATGGGGGAAATGGGCTGGGATTTGACCTCTGTGTCTTCTCAGCAGGACTTAATATATGGTGAATACATTTGTTGATTGTAAATTAAATCCTTAACTTGACTCCGTTGAATTAACATTCAAAATGCTTAATTGCCTCATTGGCCTAAGTGTACATTCTGATTGTTCAGAAAGAACTTTCTTACCTTTGTAAGTCACTAAATACTTAAAAGAGAACCGCAAACATTCCAATTAAAAGTGGAGAGAAAGGAAGCGAGCTACAGCAAGGAAGTTGATTCAACATTTTGCAGACTTAGGTTTTTTTTTTTTTTTTAAATCATGTACTGCAAGAAACATTAGATCATGAGTCTCTTCCAGTTTGGAAAAAGATAATATACCAATACTTACATTTTAGATAGTACTTCTTGTATTTTGTGTATAAATTATATGAGGGTTTTTCGGGGGAGGGGGTTGTTGGGGGTTTTTTTGTTTGTTTGTTTGTTTTTTGGCAGTTTTTGGCCAGGACCAGGTTTGAACCCAACACCTCCAGTATATGGGGCTGGCGCCCTACTCCTTTGAGCCACAGGTGCTGCTGCCCTGTATGATGTGTTTTTTGTTAAAGAGTTGACATCTAGGGTGGCACCTGTGGCTCAAAAGGGTAGGGTGCCAACTCCATATGCTGGAGGTGGCGGTTCAAACCCAGCCTCAGCGAAAAATGGCAAAAAAAAAAAAAAGAGTTGACATTTAAAAAATTATAAAACTATTATTTTGTAACTGTAAAATAATTTAATAGCAAATTATGAAAATTTATTTTGGAAACTGCATTAGTTCATAATTTTAAATGAGTACTTAAAAAAAGTAACCAAAAAAGTGTAAGATACTTGTAGATAAAATTATACTAATGGACAAATAAACTATATTCATAAATAAGAAAGGATAATTACTATAAGTATCTCAATTCTCTCTGAACTAATCAATACATATAATGCAATTCCAGCTAAAATCTCAATAGGGTTTTTCACAAAAGTCATTAAAATAACATTGAAATTTATACCAAAACTTGAGGTCCAACAACAGCTGCTATAATTTTGTGGGGGGTGGAGAACAGATAAGGTTGAAGAATAACTTGGGAGACCCGTCCTTCCAAAATTTACTATATATTGGTTTAAGAGTGAGCAAATAGGCCAGTAGAACATAAAAAAGAGCCCAGAAAAAACCTATGCCCACATGATTACCTTGTATATGACAAAAATTGCATTAAAAATTAGTGAGAAACTTTGAGTTTGTCAGTCAACAGTACTGGAACAAATGCTTTTGTATGGTAAAAAATTTTGATCCCTCCTCATACATAAAAATTCAGAGAAGATTAAAAATCTAAATGTTCAAAGCAAAACTAAAATGTGCAAGAATCATGAATTCTTTTCAACTTCATCTGTAGATTCAATACAAATCTAATCAAAAACCCAGGAAAGTTATGTCGTGCATATCAACAAATCAATTCTAACATTTACATGGAAAGGCAAAAAACTCAGAATAGCCAACATAATATAGAAAAAGAACAAAATCAGAAAACAGGCCGTACTTAACTTCAAGACTTATTATAAAGCAACAGCAATCAAGACAGTGTAGAATTTTCAAATGAATAGATAAACAGATCAATGAAACATAATAGAGTCCAGAAATAGATCTACACACATATAGCCAACTGGTATTTAACCAAGGAGCCAAAGTAATTGAATAGAAAGAGGATAGCCTTTTCAATAAATGATGCTGGAACAAGTAGACATGCAAATGCAAAAAAAAAAGAATATGGACACAGCCTTTACACCTTTTTCAGAAGCCTCAAATGGACCATAGACATGAATGTAAAATGTAAAACTATAAAACTCTTAGAAGGTAACATAGTATAAAATCTAGGTGACTGGGTGTAGGAATGACTTTTTAGATGCAACACCAAAAGCACAGTCAATGAAAGAAAAATTCACAAAGTGCTCTTCATAAAAATTAAAAACTTTTGCTCTACAGAAGACGCTGTTAAACAAATGAAAAGATAAGCCACAGACTGGAAAAGATATTTGAAAAACATATTCAGTGAAAGCTGTATTCAAACTGCGCAAAGATTTCTTAAAACTCAGCAATAGGAAAACAAACCAAATTTAAAAATGAGGCAAGGATGAGAACAGATACCTGATTCATCAGGAAGATGTACAGATGTCAGATAAGCATATGAGAATATCTTCAACATGATACATCATTAGGGATTGCAACTTTAAACAATTACGGCATACCACCCCACATCTATTAAAATGGCTAACATCCAAAACACCAACAACCAAATGCTGGTGAAGATGTGGAGAAACAGGAACTCTTATTTATCATTGGTAGAAAGCAAAATGCTATATAGCCACTTTGGAAGACAGTCTAGTAGAGTCTTACAGAGCTAAACATAGTTTTACCATATAATCCAGCAGTCATACACTTTGGTAGTCACTCAAGTGAGTTGAAAACTTACATCCACACAGAAACCTGCACAAAAATGTTTATAGCAGCTTTCTTCATAACTGTGAAAATTCATGTATGCTACATCCACACGATGGAACATCATTCGGAGGTAAAGAGAAATGACTAATCAAGTTAAAAAAACAAAAAGCCACTGACATTTTGGAAAAGGTAAAATTATAGAGAACCCAGTGTTGCCAGGGGTTCAGGCAGAAGGAGGAAGGACTAGAGCATAGGGGATTTTTTTAGGGCAGTGAAACTACTCCATATGCTACTATAATGGTAGGTGTATAACATTATGGACTTGTAAAAATGCATAGAACTATACAACACGCAGGGTGAACCTTAACATAAGTTACGAACTTTATATTTTCGGCAATCAACAAAATGCCTTGCTAAAGTCGTTAATAAATGTAAATGAGTGAATGAAAAAAATGCATAAGAAAATATAGGCTCAAATATCTATGGTTTCAAGTTAAAAAAAGATTCCTAAACAAGACTCATAAAGCACATATTATGAAGGTAAAATATTGATAAATATGAAAATATTAAAATTTAAACAGAAGGCTCCGCACCTGTAGCTCAAATGGCTAGGGCGCCAGCCAAATACACCAGAGCTGGTGGGTTCAAATCCAGCCCAGACCTGCCAAACAACAATGACAACTAAAAAATAGCCGAGTTTGTGGCGGGTGCCTATAGTCCCAGCTACTTGGGAGGCTGAGGCAGGAGAATCACTTAAGCCCAAGAGTTTGAGGTTGCTGTGAGCTGTGAAGCCATAGCACTCTACCCAGGGCAACAGCTTGAGACTCCATCTCAAAATAAATAAATAAATAAATAAAATTTAAACAGAAAAAAAAGTTAAAACTTCTTGACCCAAGACACCATAAAATTAAATAACAAGCCATTAGAAAAGATATTTACAACGTGCATGATCAAGAAATTATTTGTATTCAGAATACTACTAATAAGAAAATCAAACTACCATAGAATAATGGGCAAACAATATCAATTCTCAGAAGAGGAAAAGCAAATAGCCAATAAGCTTTTGCAAATGTACCTCCCTAACTAACAATCAAAGCAATGTAAATGAAAACAGTAATGAGATACCAGCTCACATCCAGTTTGAAGTCTCATAATGCCAAGTATACATTACTTATGGAGAAATTTGTTTAAAATGTGAAGAATAATTTTGCAATTTTTAATACAGTGAAATGTAGGCATCCTTTGCCACCTAGCAATTTCAATTCCAGGTATATACAAAAATCCCACACGTGCACAAGAAAGTTCACTGCAGTATTGTTCCTAATAGTTAAAAACTGACAACAATCTAACTGTCCTGCAATATGGAAATAGTTAATGTTTAGATGGTTGGATAGATCAATAGATTAGTAGACAAAGAAAAGAAAGAAAGGAAGGAAGGGAGGAAGAGAATGAGGGAGGGAGGAAGGGAGCGGAGGGGAGAGCGAGAAAGAAAAGAAATCCTATACCAGAATGAAAATGGCAGGTGGAACATAGTCATCTCCTACTTATGCACATATTCAGGAGACAGGAGGGGCCCTAGAAGACAAGAATCAAGCAGTAGTTCTGTAAATCCAACCCTATGTCTAGTTAATTTCTGTGTCGCTTCTCTCCACCTGTTTTTACCTCTCTTCTGCTTCTAACTGTTCGGTTTTATTTCCTCATGATTTCTGCTTACTGGTTTCTCTTCGTTATCCTCCTACCTTTCAGACGTTACACATAGGCTATTCCCAGAGGGGCCCTTCCATCGTTTCCTTTAACACAACAACCTGTTTTATTTTTTCCATA